TAGCCCTTTAAATTCCTCTTCTGGCTGGGGTGCAGTGGCTCCCACCTGTAATCCCAGCATTTGGGAGTTCGGAGGGGGTTGGATCACTTGAGGTCAGTCATTTCGAGACTAGCCTGGCTAACGTGGTGAAACCCTGTCTCTTACAAAAAATACAAAGATTAGCTGGCCGGTGGTGATGCATATGCCTGCTAATCCCAGCTACTCAGGGAGGCTGAGGGCAGGGAGAATCACTTGAACCCGGGAGGCAGGAGGTTGCAGTGAGCTGGGAGATCATGCCACTGCACTCCAGCCTGGGCAACACAGCAAGACTCCATTTCAAAAAATAAATAAATAAATAAATAAGCAAATAAATTCCTCTTCCAAGGTTCCAAACCCTAATTTCCCACCCCTACCCTCCTGAGAGACTTTTTTCAAAAACTTAGCATGTCAGTTCTGAAGTAAAAGGAGAATAAGATACTTAAGTAATTAAGCATGTGCTGATACCCTATGCAGTCAGGATAAGATCTTTTGGCCGGGGGTGGTGGCTCACGCCTGTAATCCCACCACTTTGGGAGGCCGAGGCAGGTGGATCATGAGGTCAAGAGATCGAGACCATCCTGGCCAACATGGTGAAACCCCGTCTCTACTAAAAATACAAAAATTAGCTGGAGCGTGGTGGCACGTGCCTGTAGTCCCAGCAACTTGCGAGGCTGAGGCAGGAGAATCACTTGAACCAGGGAGGCGGAGGTTGCAGTGAGCCGAGATCATGCCACTATACTCCAGCTTGGCATCCGAGTGAGACTTCGTCTCAAAAGAAAAAAAAATCTGTTTATGTAGCTACAACAAGCAGGTTCTCATATTTCAAGGAATCCCCAATATTATAGCAATAGATAAATAAGAAAATGTAGCATTCCACCATGGAATACTATACAGCCATAAAAAGGTATGATATCACGTCCCTTTCAGGGACATGGATGGAGGTGAAGCCATCAGCAAACTAACATAATAACAGAAAAACAATACCGCATGTTCTCACTTATAAGTAGGAACTGAACAATGAGAACACATGGACGCAGGGTGGGGAACAGCACACACTGGGGCCTGTTGGGGGGGTGGGGGAAGGGAGAGGATCAGGATAAACTGCTGATGCAGCTGGGCTTAATACCAAGGTGATGGGTTGATAGGTGCAGCAAAACACCAAGGCACACGTTTACCTGTGTAACAAACCTGCATGTCCTGCACATGTATTCCGAAACTTAAAATTTTGAGGGCCAGCCATGGTGGCTTACGCCTGTAATCCCAGCACTTTGGGAAGCTGAGATGAGTGGATCATGAGGTCAGGAGATAGAGACTGTCCTGGCTAACACAGTGAAACCCCATCTCTACTAAAAATACAAAAAATTAGCTGGGTGTGGTGGCACGTGCCTATAGTCCCAGCTACTTGAGAGGGTAAGGCAGGAGAATCGCTTGAACCCGGGAGGCAGAGGTTGCAGTGAGCTGAGATCGCACCACTGCATTCCAGCCTGGGCGACAGAGCGAGACTAGATTAGAGAAGTTCAATTCAACGTCATACAAAACCAATCACCAAAAAAAAAAAAAAAAAAATTAAATTTTGAAAAAAAAATGCAAGGCAGTGCAGCCTGAGTGGATAGCGAAATGGGACAAGCTGAACCTGGGATGGGAATAACAAGTAAATGAGGGAAGAAATGAGAATGATGAGTTCCCACCAGCTCCTTGGCTGCTTTCTTACCCATATATTTCTCTGTTCCTAGCATTTTGATTTTTTCTTCATTTGTATATTATTTAGAAGAGGAATTGTAGAGGAATGGGATGGAATGTAATATAGAATCATCATATTTGATGCATGCTAACTACTTTGGGAAAAGATTTGTATAAGACTGGGAGTTTGTTGACTAAAGTGAGTTGTCAGATTAGAAGACAATGAAAATTGTTCAGGTTCTTTGCGCATCATTAGAACAAATTGGATGTGTTGTGGACCTAGGGAAACACTCAAATTCAGTCTCTCCCTGTTGGGAATAGGTTTGAGGAACCACTGGCCAACTTGCTAAATGAACAACATCGGACAGTGAAGGAGCTATTTGAACAGCTGAAGATGAAGAAATCTTCAGCCAAACAGCTGCAGGAAGTAGAGAAGGTTAAACCCCAGAGTGAGAAAGTTCATCAGACTCTGATTCTGGACCCAGCACAGAGGAAGAGACTCCAGCAGCAGATGCAGCAGGTAAGACTTTTCTTGGTCATGTTAATATTGGATTATACCAAGGCCTAACTCTGAGGCCAGAAATTAACAGCTTTGTAAAAGTCAGTGATAGTTACCTTACCACCTGCTAAAACCATAGTATCTTCACATCTAGGAGCTCGAGAAGTCATCATGTTCATGCCCTATGGCTCAAGGAAGAGAGCATACAAGGATACTAATGGTATTCAGAAATACAGATTTCAAAGAGTCCTTAGTAATCTATTCTGAAATTTAACAACCTTCACTGTGAGAAGTAGGTTTTTTTTTTTCCTGTTTCTAATCTCAGTCCCTCTGGATTAAGATTAAGCTTCCTCTCGTTCTGTCATTTTGTTCAAGGGAACATGTCTGAGAGATTTATGCCAAGATTCTATGTTGTTCTCATACTCCTTTCAGAAAGCAAAATATATGTGATAAAGTTGCAAACATCTTAGTTATTGTCTCTCTGGGGGCTGGGTTATGGTGACTCACACCTGTAAACTCAGCACTTTGGGAGATTGAAGTGGGAGGATTGCTTGAGCCAGGGAGTTCAAAAGCAACCTGGGCAACATAGTGCGACCCTGTCTCTACAAAAAATAAAAATACATTAGCCAGGCATAGTGCCATGCACCTGTGGTCCCAGCTACTCAGGAGGCTGAGGTGGGAGGATTGCTTGAGCACAGGAGGTTGAGAGGGCGTGGAGCCATGATTGCATCACTGCACAGCAGCCTAGGTGACAGAGAGAGATCCTGTCTCCAAGAAGGAAAAAAAAAAACTCTCTCTGGGTTCCTGAAATGACAATGTGGCAACATGTCACTTCATTATTTTCTTTCCATCCCCAGCACGTTCAGCTCTTGACCCAAATCCACCTTCTTGCCACCTGCAACCCCAATCTCAGTCCGGAGGCCAGTACCACCAGGATATTTCTTGTAAGTTTCCAAATATCCCTAACTCTAAAGACTAGAGTGTGAAATTAGCTTGGCAGGTTATTTCTCACAGTTATTCACTGATCATAATCTATATTTATTCTTCTCTCTTGGGTGTTTTTTATTGCTTTGCCTACTTTCTGTTAAGGCTTCCTGTGTTTGCTGAGAGAACATAAGCCACTGATTCCCATGAAAGGACAAGGAGTGTATTCAATTTTCTTAGTACTGTCCTTCTGATATTTTTATTGAATCCTCCTTATCTTTAGATCCAACCTAACTTCTTAGGTTTTTTGGTACCACTGTTCCTTTTATAGATGTTGAGACTGGGCACGGTGGCTATCCCTGTAATCCCAGCACTTTGAGAGGCCAAAGCAGGCAGATTGCGTGACCCCAGTAGTTCGAGACCAGCTGGGGCAACATGCTGAAAGCCCATCTCTACAAAATACAAAAATTAGCCAGATGTGGTGCGTACCTGTAGTCTCAACTACTTGGGAGGCAGAGATGGAAGGATAGCTTGAGCCTGGGAGGTAGGGGTTGCAGTGAGCTGAGATCGCGCCACTGCACTCCAGCCTGGGCGGCAGAGTGAGATCCGGTCTCAAAATAAATAATAAAATAAAAGTAATAGTCCTAATTCTTGGCTGGGTGCAGTGACTCATGCCTGTAATCTCAGCACCTTGGTAGGCTGAAGTGGCTGGATCGCTTGAGGTCAGGAGTTCGAGAACAGCTTGACCAACATGGTGAAATCCGGTCTCTACTTAAAATACAAAAAATAGCCGGGCATGCTGGAGGGCGCCTGTAATTAATCCCAGCTACTTGGGAGGTGGATGCAGAAGAATCGCTTGAGCCTGGGAAGTGGAGACTTCAGTGAGTCAAGATCGTACCATTACACTCCAGCCTGGGCGACAGAGCGAGACTCCGTCTCAAAAAAAAAAAAATGAATCTTCATTCTTCATAATCTTCATTCTAGTTCGAGAACTAGACCGTATATTCCTTAGTGTTTCTCACTAAGTCTAAAAGTAAACCAAGAATACAATCCCTGAATATCTGGGAACTCAGGTGTAGTCTTAACAGAGTAGTTTATTGTGAAAGACTTTATGATGATTTTTACCTGTTTTTATCCTGTAGTAGGAAGGTCAGCTTCTCATTTAGATTCTGAAGGCTACTGGTATTAATTATCTGGAATTGTCTTAGATCTTCTTGTGTCCTGTTTTCCCAGAAAGAGCTGGGAACCTTTGCTCAAAGCTCCATCGCCCTTCACCATCAGTACAACCCCAAGTTTCAGACCCTGTTCCAACCCTGTAACTTGATGGGAGCTATGCAGCTTATTGAAGACTTCAGCACACATGTCAGCATTGACTGCAGCCCTCATAAAACTGTCAAGAAGACTGGTAGGAGACAGATGTGTCAGCTTTAAGTTTTTACTTGCGGTGAGAGGTGGTGGGAATCTTATCCCATAGATAACTTCCTAGGATACTTGCCTAGGAATGGAGGACACAGGACATTTGTAATTTCTTTCTTCTCTCTTTTATCCTCCCTTTGTACTCATTATCTGAGTTCTAGAATTACATGATAATCTCTGGGCTTGGGTAAGGCATGGAGGCAGTGGACAGTATAGGAGTATGGGAGGTAGAGATATGAGGCTCAGTGCTAAGAATTGGACTGTAGCAATCTGAGGGATATTAGGAGTCAGATCAAATTAAACTGGGGCCTGGTAAAGATGAAAGTCAGGTGGTAAAGTTTGGTCATGTTTAGCTTTTTACTCTCTTCATTAAGTTTGGTCATGTTTAGCTTTTTCCTGTCTTCAACTAAGGCCAGGTGCTGTGGCTCACACCTATAATCCTAGTACTTTGGGAGGCCGAGTCAGGGGGAACACAAGGTCAGGAGATTGAGACCATCCTGGCTCACACAGTGAAACCCCGTCTCTACTAAAAATACAAAAATTAGCCAGGCGTGGGGGCACGCGCCTGTAGTCCCAGCTACTTGGGAGGCTGAGGCAGGAAAATTGCTTGAACTCAGGAGGCAGAGGTTGCAGTGAGTCGAGATTGTGTCATTGCCCTCCAGCCTGGGCGACAGAGCGAGACTGCATCTCAAAAAAAAAAAAAAAAAATCAACTAACTTTATTTACCATACTGACTGCAGCGTAAGTGATATCTCCATTCTGAATGAAATGTTGACTTGAGAGTTACGCATAAATTAGAGATTATACATTTGCCATGTTCAGTATTGTAAAGAAATTTGCAGGTTTAGATTCTACCTTGCGTTGGTTTAGTATTTTTTGAGAAAATATTTGCTGTTTACTTAAGCCAAATATTTGCTTCTGATTTGTTTCCTGATTTAGCAAATTAGTTGTGGTTTGTTCTGGGTTTGTGTTTGTCTTTGGATTCTATTTTAAATCCCTGAGTCTTATCGTTAAGTTGAATATAGTTGTATTTAAGTGTATTATATCGTAGACACAGATCCCAAACTACTTGAATAGCTGTATTAACTGATATGAAATGGTGATGAAAACTTGATTTAACACCAAATTATAATAATATCTTACACATCTGTTGACCTGTTGCTTTCTTCTGGGGATATAAAAATAACACTTATGGAAGGAGAAATATGGATATAGTAGTTTTGTCTTTAGAATTGCAGAGGTTCCTGAAAGTGAGAGACTGAGAGAGGGAGAGAGAAATGAATGAGACTGAATTGTCTCATTCCTTTTATGGTTCTTTTGTTCCCAACCTCAGGAGGAATCTGGGAGAACTTAATGAAAGTTAAGTAAAAATCAAATAAAAGTAAAATTTGGAATACCAGATTTGTGAGGGAGATTAAAGAAGTTGGAATCTTATTCTGGAAGAAAGGAAGCATTGTTGAAGGTCTCTTATCCTTCGAGGATTTAAGGGGGGAAGGAGGTAAAACATTTTTGAGCATACACTATTGCCAGCTCCTTTTATTACTAGGTGCTTTTTAAGTGTTTGTTTTACTTAGTGAATAAAGTGTTCCATGTAAGAAAGAGTCAACTTTTATTGCCATTGAATGGGACTCCCTTTAGATACAATGTTAGCTTAAGAAAGACTGTGGAAACTCTTTGGGGAATGGTGGGCAGATGGGAGGGAAATCCAGTTAGATAAGGACAGCTCTACCTAAATGCAAAAATGCATTCACGGGCTTTTTGAAGCCCTGTTTTGTCTTAGAAGTTGATTTATCCGAGATTTATTTTCTTATAGCCAATGAATTTCCCTGTTTGCCAAAGCAAGTGGCTTGGATCCTGGCCACAAGCAAGGTTTTCATGTATCCAGAGTTACTTCCAGTGTGTTCCCTGAAGGCAAAGAATCCCCAGGATAAGATCGTCTTCACCAAGGCTGAGGACAAGTAAGTGTTTACTCTGGGGGATCAAAACAGCAGAATATCCCAAGGAGAAGACATAGTTCCTTTGAGGAGTTTAGGGGAAGTAAGATTTGTATAATAAAACATGGACACAAAAGACAAAAGGAAGAGCAGTATAGATGAGCAGAGCCCTCTAGGAGATGCTTGTTCTAGCAGTGCCAAATACTGCTTTTTGGGGGAATGTCACACACATTTTTAAAGCATTTTAGACCGGAGATGGTGGCTCCCACCTGTAGTCCCAACACTTTGAAAGGCCAAGGCAGGAAGTTCGCTTTTATTTTATTGTATGTTATTTATTTATGTAGAGACAGGATCTTACTCTGTCACCCAGGCAATCACAGCTCACTGCAGCCTTGAACTCCTGAGATCAAGTGATCCTTGCACCTCAGCCTCCACGGAGCAGCTGGGACCCCAGGCGTGTGCCACTATACATGGCTCATTTTTTTGTGTGTGCAGATGAGGGTCTCTCTGTGTTATCCAGGCATCTTTCAAACTCCTGGACTCAAGGCATCCTCCCACCTTGGCCTCCCAAAGTGCTGGGATTACAGGCATGAGCCACCACACCCACCAGATTATGAACATTTTTATGGCCCTTTGTGTGTATTGCCACACTGTTATCAGCACATATGTATATATGCAACCACGATTATCTATGTTGTTAGAGGGTAGTATTGGTGCCGGTTTAAGTTGTCTGACAGGGTACCTATTCATTTTGTATTAGTTTTACTAGAATCATTCTCCTTCCTTTGTATTCTCTTTCAAGTTCCTTTGTGTTGTTAGTATACAGCTCATCATGATACAGCTCATCATGATCTCACGTTTATTAATGATTTATGCCTAGTTTCTTATGTTCCCACGTAATTGTGAAGTATTTGATGTTTTTTAAATGGAGTCTCACTCTTGTCACCCAGGCTGGACTGCAGTGGTGCGATCTCGGCTCACTGCAACCTTCGCCCTCTGGGTTCAAGCAATTCTTCTGCCGAAGTAGCTGGGATTACAGGTGCTCACCACTATACCTGGCTATTTTTTGTATTTTTAGTAGAGACGGGGTTTCACCATGTTGGCCAGGCTGGTCTCGAACTCCTGACCTCAAGTGATCTGCCTGCCTCGGCATCCCAAAGTGCTGGGATTACAGATGTGAGCCATTGTGCCTGGCCTTATTCTTACTTATAATACTTAATCAGTACTCACTAAGCATCTGAAATTTTCTATTGAGTAGTCACCAACTTGTACAAGAATTAGATTTAGAAAAAGTAGATTGGCCAGGCATGGTGGCTCATACCTGTAATACCAGCACTTTGAGAGGCTGAGGCAGGAGGATTGCTTGAGGCCAGGAGTTTAAGATCAGCCAGGGCAACAAAATGAGAACTGGTCTCTACAAATAATGGAAGAAAAAATTTAGCCAGGCATGGTGGTGAACGTCTGTGGTCACAGATGCTTGGGAGGCTGAAGTGTGGGAATCGATTGAACCCAGGCATTCAAGGCTGCAATGTACTGTAATCATGCCACTGCTCACCAGCCTAGGCATCAGAGCAAGACCCTGTCTGAAAAAAATGAAAAGGTAGATTGGGTCACACACCATGGCTCATGCCTGTAATCCCAGCACTTTGGGAGGCTGAGACTAGAGAATCGTTTCAGCCTAGGAAGTAGAGGCTGCAGTGGGCTGCAATTGTACCACTGCACCCTGGCCTGGGTGACAGCGTGAGACCTTGTCTCAAGAAAAAAATGAAAAAGAAAGAGTAGATCGTAAAATGTGTTAGTCTGGGGAGACCCTTTAGAAGGAAGGACTGTGAAGTGAGATTTAGTGTCATTGCTCCTTTCTCAGTTTGTTAGCTTTAGGACTGAAGCATTTTGAAGGAACTGAGTTTCCTAATCCTCTAATCAGCAAGTACCTTCTAACCTGCAAAACTGCGCACCAACTGACAGTGAGAATCAAGAACCTCAACATGAACAGAGCTCCTGACAACATCATTAAAGTGAGTGTTTCCTGCATGTGCCATCCGGGCACCTCACCAATATGTACTCATTCTTTTCTCTTGTTATTCTCAAAGAAAAGAGGAACCTTCTTTTATCTAAAGCACTGACAGTATTCCACTTATATGCTTTTTGTGTGTGTGTGTGTGTGTCAGACAGACTCTTGCTCTGTCACTAAGGCTGGAGTACAGTGGCGTGATCTTGGCTCACTGCAGTCTTTACCTCCCAAGTTCAAGCGATTCTCCTTCCTCAGTGTCTCTCCTGCATCAGCATCCCAAGTAGCTTGGATTACAAGCATGCACCACCATGCCTGGCTAATTTTTGTATTTTTAGGAGGGACGAGGTTTCACCATGTTGGCCAGGCTGGTCTCAAACCTCTGACCTTAAGTGATCCACCTGCCTTGGCCTCCCAAAGTGCTGGGATTACAGGCGTGAGCCACTGCACCCTGTTTCTTCTTTTTTATTTAGATACTTATTTATGTTGTGTTTTTATTTAATTTTATTTTTGTTTTTTGAGACGGAGTTTTTGCTCTTCTTGCCCAGGCTGGAGTACAACGGCATGATCTTGGCTCACCGCAACCTCCACCTCCTAGGTTCAAGCAATTCTCCTACCTCAGCCTGCCCAAGTAGCTGGGATTATAGGCATGCACTACCAAGCCCAGCTAATTTTGTATTTTTAGTAGAGATGGGGTTTCTCTGTGTGGGTCAGGCTGGTCTTGAATTCCCGACCTCAGGTGATCAGCCCACCTCGGCGTCCCAAAGTGCTGGGATTATAAGCGTGAGCCACCATGCCCGGCCTATGTTGTGTTTTTAGAGACAGTTTCTTGCTCTATCATCCTGTCTGGAGTCCATTGGCACAGTCGTAGGTCACTGTAGCCACAAACTCCTGGGTTCAAGTGATCCTTCCACTTCAGCCTACCAAGTAGCCTGGAGTACAGGCACGTTCCACCAAGCCTAGCTTATTATTTTATTTTGTGTAGAGATGCTGTGTCACTTTGTTGCCCAGACTGGTCTTGAAGTTTTGACAACTGTCAGTCTGCCTGCCTCAACTTGGCCTCCCAAAGTGTTGGGATTACAGGCGTGAGCCACTATGCCCAGGCTTTTGTTTTGTTTTGTTTTTGTTTTTTTCTTGAGATAGGCTTTTACTCTGCTACCCAGGCTGGAGTACAGTGGTATCATAGCTCACTGTAGCTTCGAACACCTGGGCTCAAGCATTCCTCCCACCTCAGCCTCCCAAGGAACTGGGATTATGTGCATGAGCTACCTTGCTTGCGTATTAAAAAAAAATTTTTTTTTTCAGAAATGGAATGTCCCTATATTGCCCAGGCTGGTCTAGAATTTTTCGCCTTAGGCAGTTCTCCTGTCTCAGCCTCTAATTGCTGCTTCCTGGTATATTGGATTTAGGCCTTATTTATTAACCATTAACCATAAGCCAGGGAAGTTGAGGATTTATCTGTCTCCTCACTCCCTTGCTCCCACCACAAACATGCACATTTTCTGCTCTCCAATCTCCTCACTAGTAAATATGTCACAATTTTGGTTAGGTTGTATTCAGGGTTTACACTGTAAAATTTTAAGGACTGTATAAATGCTCTTCATATCTGAGCTTTGTTATTGTAATACCTTGCCTTTCCTGCTGAACGTTTTATTTCTCTTGGAGTAAATAATCACATTTTTTAGGGGAATGGGGCTGGACTTGATTTTATTATGTAATTATTCCCAGATCAACAGTAAAGGTTACTTAAATTTTCTTAATCTCCTTTCAGTATGTCTGGCCTTCTAGATATTCCGTCATTTTCATCTTGAAGGAATTGCTCCCTGAGCCCTCTGACACTGTTCCACTCTAAGCGTGTTGCCCTGTGGGCTTGCTGCACTGATGTCTTCTTGGACTTTTTCTTCACCATAATCCTGGGGATTATTTTTGCCTCTTACTGTGCTGGATCTTCTTATTTCCTGAATTCTACATCTTTGTTTTTGTTTTACTTCCTTCCCTTAGTGGAATACATTCTAGTAGCATTTTTCTTTAAATTTTTTTCTAAATTTTTTTTTTAATTTTTTTTTTTTTTTTGAGACAGAGTCTCGCTCTGTCACCCAGGCTGGAGTGCAGTGGCTGGATCTCAGCGCACTGCAAGCTCCACCTCCCGGGTTTACGCCATTCTCCTGCCTCAGCCTCCCGAGTAGCTGGGACTACAGGTGCCCGCCACCTTGCCCAGCTAGTTTTTTGTATTTTTTAGTAGAGACGGGGTTTCACTGTGTTAGCCAAGATGGTCTCGATCTCCTGACCTCGTGATCCGCCCGTCTTGGCCTCCCAAAGTGCTGGGATTACAGGCTTGAGCCACCGCGCCCGGCCCTAAATTTTTAAAATTTAGGCGGGCGGATCACGAGGTCAGGAGATCGAGACCATCCTGGCTAACACAGTGAAACCCCGTCTCTACTAAAAATACAAAAAATTAGCCGCGCGTGGTCGCGGACGCCTATAGTGCCAGCTACTGGGGAGGCTGAGGCAGGAGAATGGCGTGAACCCGGGAGGTGGAGCTTGCAGTGAGCCGAGATCGCGCCACTGCACTCCAGCCTGGGTGACACAGCAAGACTCCATCTTAAAAAAAAAATTGAGACAGGTCTCACTTTTTTGCCCAGGCTGGTCTTGAACTCCTGGGCTCAAGTAATTCTCCTGCCTTGGCTTCCCAAAGTGCTGGGATTATAGGCATGAGCCACAGCCCTATTTAACTCTTGAATCTTCATGTAACACCTGTTTTTCCCAACTTCTGATAGCATATAAGAATTTTCCTTTGGCTCCAATGTTTTGAAAATTCTTGATAATATGGCTTAAAATTTGTCTAGTTTCATACATGGAGCTAAGGCACTTGATAAACTGTATTCTGCTGCAGAAAAATCTTTTTTCTTCACGTTTGAGTTGTGTGTCATTTTCTGTGCACATCTTTGTACTTTTTGTTTGTTTCTTTGCTTCTTGGTCTTTGAGACAGACTCCTCTGTCACCCAGACTGGAGTGCAGGGAAGTGATCCACGCTCACTGAACTTTTGTCTCCCGAGTTCAAGTGAGTTTTTGCCTAGCCTCCCGAGTGGCTGGGATTACAGGCGAGTGGCACCATACCTGGCCAATTTTTGTATTTTTAGTAGAGACAGGGTTTCACCATGTTGCCCAAGCTGGTCTTGAACTCCTGGCCTCAAGTCATCTGCCTGCTTCAGCCTCCCAAAGTCCTGGGATTACAGGCCTGAGCCACTGTGCCCGGCTGTCTTTGTACTTTTTTAAATGTAAGATATCAGTATTGTTCCACTTGGCTCTTTCCCACTAGTCTGTAAGCTCCTTGAGAGCAGGAATTGCTTCTCTTACATGTGTGCTTACCTTTTAGCACAGTGCCTAGGACATAGAAAACATTCTGTATATGTTGGATGAGCAGATATTCTCAATGGTTTTAGTTCAATTCTCGTCTTCATTTATTTTTTTTTTTTTGAGACGGAGTCTCGCTCTGTCCCCCAGGTTGCAGTGCAGTGGCATGATCTCGGCTCACTGCAAGCTCTGCCTCCTGGGTTCACACCATTCTCCTGCCTCAGCCTCCCGAGTAGCTGGGACTACAGGCACCCACCACCACGCGTGGCTAATTTTTTGTATTTTTTAGTAGAGACGGGGTTTCACCGTGTTAGCCAGGATGGTCTCGATCTCCTAACACTGTGATCCTCGTGCCTCAGCCTCCTAAAGTGCTGGAATTACAGGCATGAGCCACCGTGCCCGGACTATTCTTTTTTTTTTTTTTTTTTAGCCGGCGTCTCACTCTGTCACCCAGGCTGGAGTGCAGTGGCACGATCTCTGATCTCAGCTCACCACAACCTCCACCTCCCAGGTTCAAGGGATTCTCCTGCCTCAGCCCCCTGGGTAGCTGGGATTACAGGTGCGTGCCACCACACCTGGCTAATTTTTATATTTTTGTAGAGGTAGGGGTTTTGCCATGTTGGCCAGGCTGATCTTGAACTCCTGACCTTAGGTAATCTGCCCGCCTCCTAAAGTGCTGGGATTACAGGCCCGAGCCACCATGCCCAGCTTTCATTTACTCTTAGAATTGAACTTTCTCAGGCTCTCTTTTTTTTTCCCCTTCTCTTCTAATGCCCTTCACACCATCATTTGCTTAAAATGAAGCTTTCATGTGTCCAAGGTATAGATTACGATGCTGTCTTTGCAGCTGTTGAGCAGGAACAAATCTTACATAAGATTGCTCTGAGCATCTGCTTCCTTTTCTGTCTGTGACCTAAACTGTCCCCTTCCTGGCAACCACATAGAGATCATCAGTTAGAAAATATTGAAGAAAGATTTTACAATTATTGTAAAATCTTTAAATAGAGATTAGTTTAATTCAAAATGTACAAGTATTCAGCATATGCTATTTATATATATGTGTTCGTGGGTGTGTATGTGGTTTTGTGTGTGTGTGTGTGTGTGTGTGTGTGTGTCTCTCTCTCGATCCACCACCCACCCCATTCACCAGCCTGACAGAGGACAACAGTGTTTCCAGAAGGAATGTAACTCATGCACATTTTTTTCGTGTTAAGTTTTATAAGAAGACCAAACAGCTGCCAGTCTTAGTAAAATGCTGTGAAGAGATCCAGCCACATCAGTGGAAGCCACCTATAGAGAGAGAAGAACACCGGCTCCCATTCTGGTTAAAGGTACATCCCTCTTCCTCAAAGTCTGTGGGAGGCAAGTCACTGAAAGTTCTGAGAGAATATCAAGGGCTTCCTTAATCTACTAATGCTTTAGTTGTAGAATTAGGACTTCAGAAATCTTCCTCATTCACCTTTCTTCCCTTACTTTCTGCCCTTCTCTGAGTGATTCTACATTTTCAAAATAATAGGTAAAATAATAATTTGCTAAAGGAAATTCACAGAAGTTTCTGAAGTATGTAATTGGAATGTGGTCTTTGTAGATTTGATATGCGGAGAGACTTTTCTTGGAAAGATGCCTTGAGCTTGTCTAAGGTCCCTAAAACCTAGAAAGCCCTATTGTTTTTCCCAAATTCTTTTTTTGTTGTTGTTGTTTTGTTTTGTTTTGAGACAGAGTCTTCCTCTGTCCACCCAGGCTATGGTGCGATCTCGGCTCCTCGCAACCTCTGCCTCCCAGGTTCAAGTGATTCTCCTGCTTCTGCCTCCCCAGTAGCTGGGATTCCAGGCACATGCCACTACACCCAGCTAATTTTTATATTTTTAGTAGAGATGGGGTTTCACCATGTTGGTCAGGCTCGTCCTGAACTCCTGACCTGAAGTGATCTGCCCACTTCAGCCTCCCAAAGTTCTGGGATTACAGGCGTGAGTGACTGTGCCAAGCTTCTTTTTCCCAAATTCTGACATATGCTGGATCAGAGTGTTCTTGTTTCCAATAGGCCAGTCTGCCATCCATCCAGGAAGAACTGCGGCACATGGCTGATGGTGCTAGAGAGGTAGGACATGTGACTGGAACCACTGAGATCAACTCAGATCATGGCCTAGAAAAAGACAACTCGGAGTTGGAGAGTGAAACTCAGTACCCACTGCTATTGCCTAAGGGTGTGGTCCTGAAACTGAAGCCAGTTGCCACCCGTTTCCCCAGGAAGGCTTGGAGACAGAAGCGTTCATCAGTCCTGAAACCCCTCCTTATCCAACCCAGCCCCTCTCTCCAGCCTAGCTTCAACCCTGGGAAAACACCAGCCCGATCAACTCATTCAGAAGCCCCTCCGAGCAAAATGGTGCTCCGAATTCCTCACCTGATCCAGCCGGCCACTGTCTTACAGACAGTTCCAGGTGTCCCTCCACTGGGGGTCAGTGGAGGTGAGAGTTTTGAGTCCCCTGCAGCACTGCCTGCTATGCCCCCTGAGGGCAGGACAAGCTTCCCTCTGTCTGAGTCCCAGACTTTGCTCTCTTCTGCCCCTGTGCCCAAGGTAATGCTGCCCTCCCTTGCCCCTTCTAAGTTTCGGAAGCCATATGTGAGACGCAGACCCTCAAAGAGAAGGGGAGTCAAGGCCTCTCCCTGTATGAAACCTGCCCCTGTTATCCACCACCCTGCATCTGTTATCTTCACTGTTCCTGCTACCACTGTGAAGATTGTGAGCCTTGGCAGTGGCTGTAACATGATCCAGCCTGTCAATGCGGCTGTGGCCCAGAGTCCCCAGACTATTCCCATTACCACCCTCTTGGTTAACCCTACTTCCTTCCCCTGTCAATTGAACCAGCCCCTTGTGGCCTCCTCTGTCTCACCCTTAATTGTTTCTGGCAATTCTGTGAATCTTCCTATACCATCCACCCCTGAAGATAAGGCCCACGTGAATGTGGACATTGCTTGTGCTGTGGCTAATGGGGAAAATGCCTTTCAGGGCCTAGAACCCAAATTAGAGCCCCAGGAACTATCTCCTCTCTCTGCTACTGTTTTCCCCAAAGTGGAACATAGCCCAGGGCCTCCATCAGCAGATGCAGAGTGCCAAGAAGGATTGTCAGAGAACAGTGCCTGTCGCTGGACTGTTGTGAAAACAGAGGAGGGAAGACAAGCTCTGGAGCCGCTGCCTCAGGGCATCCAGGAGTCTCTAAACAACTCTTCCCCTGGGGATTTAGAGGAAGTTGTCAAGGTGGAACCTGAAGATGCGAGAGAGGAAATCAGTGGATCCCCTGAGCGTGATATTTGTGATGACATCAAAGAGGAACATGCTGTGGAATTGGACACTGGCGTCACAAGTGAGGAGTTGAACAGTGCTAGAGAGGTAAAGAAACAGACAGTCTTACAGAAGGAAGAGGAGAGGAGTCAGCCAGCTAAAACCCCTTCATCTTCTCAAGAGCACCCTGATGAAGGAACCTCAGGGACAGATGTGAACAAAGGATCATCAAAGAATGCTTTGTCCTCGATGGATCCTGAAGTGAGGCTTAGTAGCCCCGCAGGGAAGCCAGAAGAGTCACCCAGTGTTGATGGTCAGTCAGTGGAGACTCCAGTTGGGCCAGAAACTGGAGGAGAGAAGAACGGGCCGGAAGAAGAGGAAGAAGAGGACTTTGATGACCTCACCCAAGATGAGGAAGATGAAATGTCATCAGCTTCTGAGGAATCTGTGCTTTCTGTCCCAGAACTCCAGGTGAGAGCTGGAGAATATTCTCAAGTATTTTGTGGACTCAGTAATATGTTTAATTTATTGATATGCCACCTGCTTGCTTGCTACACTATGGATAGTCCTAAAATCATTTTTATTTATTTGTAATGCATTATGGAACATGATTGTGGGGTTGAGGTGAAATGAGATGGAAAGGATGAAATTTTACTGATTATATTAAACTGATTTACACATTAAATTGAATCACCTGACCATACTTTAGATGCCTTAAAAAATTAAAAAATAGTAATAGGCTGGGCTTGGTGGCTCACGCCTGTAGTCCCAGCACTTTGGGAGGCTGAGGTGGTTGGATCACAAGGCCAGGAGTTTCAGACTGGTCTGGCCAATGTGGTGAAACCCCATCTATACTAAAAATACAAAAATTAGCCAGGCGTGGTGGTGGGTGCCTGTAATCCCTGCTGCTCCGGAGGCAGAGGCAGGAGAATCGCTTGAGCCCGGGAGATGGAGGCTGCAGTGAGCTGAGATCGCATCATGGCGCTCCAGCCTGGGCAACAGAACAAGGCTCCGTCTCAAAAAAAAAAAAAAAAAAGTGTAAATAGCCGGGCACGGTGGCTCACGCCTATAAATCCCAGCACTTTGGGAGGCCAAGGCAGGCGGATCACCTGAGGTCGGGAGTTCAAAACCAGCCTGACCAACATGGAGAAACCCTGTCTCTACTAAAAATACACAAGTAGCTGGGCGTAGTGTCGCCTGCCTATAATCCCAGCTACTCAGGAGACCGAGGCAGGAGAATTGCTTGAACCTGGGAGGCAGAGGTTGTGGTGAGCCGAGATTACACCATTGCACTCTAGCCTGAAAACTATCTTCAGGTTACAGAAGTTTGTAAAAGGGAATTTCTTCCCGTTTCCTACTGTCAGGCCGAATGTCAGCTATCACTGGGATTTCTTTTTTTTGTCTTGTTTTGTGTGTGTGTGTGTTTGTTTTTTTGGTTTTTGTTTTTTTTTGAGATGGAGTCTCACTCTGTCTCCCAGATTGGAGTGCAATGGCACAATTTCAGCTCACTGCAACCTCCGCCTCCCAGGTTCAAGTAATTCTCGTGCCTCAGCCTCCCAAGTAGCTGGGATTATAGGCATATGCCATCGTACCTGACTAATTTTTGTATTTTTAGTAGAGACGGGGTTTCATCATGTTGGCGAGGCTGGTCCTGAACTCCTGGCCTCAAGTGATCCACCCACCTCACCTTCCCAAAGTGTCGGGATTACAGGCGTGAGCCACTGTACCTGGCCCATTGCTGGGATTTCGTAAATCAGGGAATTCCCCTCTGACAGCTGTGGTGGGCTCCCCATTGTTTAACTTCAGATTATCCTGATATAGCTTTGTGCTGTTCTGCAATTCATGAGCCACTAAGAGCCATTATAAGTACTCTTTGGAGGGTTTTACAGGAAACAATGGAGAAACTGACTTGGCTGGCATCTGAAAGGCGCATGAGTCAGGAGGGTGAGTCTGAAGAAGAGAATTCTCAGGAGGAGAACTCTGAGCCGGAAGAAGAGGAGGAAGAAGAAGCAGAAGGAATGGAAAGCCTACAGAAAGAGGATGAAATGATGGATGAAGCAGTTGGAGACTCAGCTGAGAAGCCTCCTTCTACTTTTGCCTCATCTGAGACTGCTCCAGAAGTGGAAACCAGCAGAACTCCACCAGGTGAGTTAGGCAAGCCTATACTGAAGGACCAGTCTCACTTAACCTCATTGTCTAGAGGACAGTGTGCAGAGTGGATAGCTTATAAACCAGGTGGAGGATTTCCAGAGGAAACCCTCTGGATCTGTTCTGCAACCCCCCACCCCCAAAACACGTTTAATGCGGTGTCTTTGTGGAGAATACTCAGAAATTTTTAATTTGATTCTCATCCATTGTTAGATTTATATTAGCCTCCTTCACTTTCTTTTTTTTTTTTTTTTTTTTTTTTTTTTTTTTGAGATGGTGTCTTGCTGTGTCGCCCAGGCTGGAGTGCAATGGCGTGATCTCGGCTCACTGCAAGCTCCGCCTCCCAGGTTCAAGCAAAACTCCTGCCTCAGCCTCCTGAGTAGCTGGGATTACAGGCATCCACCCCCACACCCAGCCAATTTTTGTATTTTTAGTAGAGACAGGGTTTTACCATGTCAGTCAGGCTGGTCTCGAACTCCTAACCTTATAATCCGCCTGCCTCGGCCTCCCAAAGTGCTGGGATTACAGGCGTGAGCCACTGCACCTGACTGTTCACTTTGTTAAAGTGATTGTTACCTTATCTGTCATGCGTGGGGCTAAGACCCATGTTTATTTCAGGAAACACTGCTTGTTCCTCATCCAGACATAGTCTCTCAAGAGCACTACAGAAGCCACACTTGCTCTTTAGACTTCCTTTCTCAATATGAAGTAGCTGATTATCTTGTCATCCCAATTAAGGCAGTTACACTGCAGACTCTGTGTAGAGCTGACTTGACAGACTTACTTCTCATACCGTTTTCCCAACAACCTTTTCCTTGACTTGCTCCATAATATTGAATAGGATTTGGCTGGGGTGGTGCATGTGGTGGAATGGTAAGAGCAGGGGTTTAGGGACAGAGAAACAATGTTTTTCATGTGTGCTACAAGGAGAGAGCATCAAAGCTGCTGGAAAGGGCCGGAACAATCATCGAGCTCGCAACAAGCGGGGAAGTCGGGCTCGGGCCAGCAAGGACACCTCCAAGCTGCTGTTGCTGTATGATGAGGACATTCTCGAACGAGATCCCCTCAGGGAGCAGAAGGACTTGGCCTTTGCCCAAGCTTATCTGACCAGGGTAGGCAAATGCTGCTTCCTGTTACTGCCAGTCTCTGTGAATGTGGCTGCTTCTTCAAGGGAGATGTTTTTAAAAATGACGTCTGTTTTTCAGGCTATACAGCAGGCATCATATTCCTCTATGTTGGCTTTTCTGGCAAAAGATCTCTGTGACAGAACCACAAAGAGACGTAGAATTCAATCATAAGTATGTTTATTGTTAATACCCTGCCATCATCCTTCTGTTTACTAGAGATTGGCAGAAAAATGATACCACCATCATCAGTGGGAGGTTGTGACTTTATTAGGTGGGCTGATAAGGACCTTTATAGAACCTTTGGCTTGAGAAGAAAGACAGTGGATACACTGGCCAGCAAGTGGATTTCAGAGAAATACATTGCTCTTAAGACATGAACCAGCTGGGCATGGTGGTTCACATCTATGATCCCAGCACTTTGGGAGGCCGAGGCAGGTGGATCACCTGAGATCAGGAGTTCGAGACCAGCCTGGCCAACATGGTGAAACCCTGTCTCTACTAAAATACAAAAATTAGCTGGGCGTGGTGGCAGGCGCCTGTAATCCTAGCTACCGGGGAGGCTGAGGCACAAGAATCATTTGAACCCGGGAGATGGAAGTTGCAGTGAGCCGAGATCGCACCACTGCACTCCAGCCTTGGTGACAGGGTGAGACTGTGTCTCAAAAAAAAAAAAAAAGACATGAACCAGGCTGGGCGTTGTGGCCCTTGCATATAATCCCAGCACTTTGGGAGGCTACAGTAGGAGGATTCCTTGAGTCCAGGAGTTCAAGACAAGCCTGGGCAACATAGGAGACCTCCAACTCTACAAAAATTAAAAAATCAACTAAGCATGGTGGTACATGCCTGTAGTCCTCGCTACTTTGGGAGGCTGAGGTGGAAGGATGACTTGGGCCCAGGTGGTTGAGGCTGCAGTGAGCCATAATTGCATCAGTGCACTCCAGCCTGGGCAACAGAATGAGACCCTGTCTCAAAAAAAAAAAAAAAAAGACGTAAGCCAACCTCTTCTTGGTAGTGTCCTGGAGAACTATATCCTTCTGTTGGTAACCACCTGGTTCCTTTATCCCCCTGGAAAGCAGAATACTGGCAATGATAGTCATAGCTTTTTCTTATCTCCTAATATTTTACTGATATTCCTAACTTAGGTATTATTTACTCTCAGATTACGCCCATACTGAAATACATGTACAAACACATGTTACCTATTTCATTATGAGGATGTAATCAGTAAGGAAACGTTAGGGCTGCAACCCAGAGAAAAGCATTACTTGGTTTTGTGGGTAGAGCTGTGGAACTTGGAAAATGTTTTTTTACTTGCTCACTCCCAGAAAAAGATCTTTACCTTGCCTATTGCTCTGTATCTTCCATTAACAGTCAGATGTTAAGATCTGTTGGAGGTGCAGCCTCTGATGGATAATTCTTGGAGCTCTCTAACCATAACCCTGCCTTCTCCCTTGTACCCTTATTGCTTGTTGTGGCCCAAATAAAGGGTGTTGATGATTGAAAGTCTTCCCGTGTAGGTACGAGAAGCCCTACAACATATCCCTGGCAAGTATGAAGACTTCCTTCAAGTCATCTATGAATTTGAGTCAAGTACCCAGAGACAGACGGCTGTAGATCTCTACAAAAGCCTGCAAATTCTGCTCCAAGACTGGCCTCAGCTGTTGAAAGACTTTGCTGCTTTCCTGTTACCTGAGCAAGCTCTGGCCTGTGGATTAGTAAGTGAATGGGGAAAATAAGTACACTAGGACTTCTGGGTCAGAGTGAGACTGGGATTGATTGAATGGGGTTGAATAAGACTGTTTCAATCTCCCAACTCCTTCCAGACACACAGACGTCCCCTAGCCCAGAGTGATAAGAGCCTCTGTCTTTTCAAGGGATTATCTTTCCAATCCCATGCTCCCATTTTCTTTACATGATAAATGAGAGGGTTTTACCTGTAGTTGCCAAAGGAGACTTTGGGTGAGTCATATGCTCTCTGCTTCTCACTGGTATCAAGCCAGACATTCATTTAACAAGTATTTGTTAAGTGCCTCCTAACTGTCAGACAATTCCTGACCTCAATTGCTAGGAATATAGCAATTACAAAAGACTAAAATCCCTGCCCTCATGGAGCTTATGTTTTCATGGGGAAGTTCAGATGATACTCCAGAAAACATATATATAATATATAAAACATAAATTATAAAAAGAAGTATAAACAGTGAAATATGTAGTATACAATGTTTTACAGTGATCATGTTTTACAGAAAAATAAAGCAGGAAAGGAAACTAGAGGGGTGGTTTTATACACAGTGGTCTAGGAAGGCCACTGTGGTACGGTAACATGTAAAATGTTGCAGAATAGGAGGCTAAACATGAGGGATATCCCAGTAGTCCTGGACTTCTTGTCACAAAAATAGGAACAAAGGGAGGAATGAGATTATTCTAAGAGTTTTATTAGGGTTAAGTGACAGTGGGGTAGTTCTGTGTATAATGTGTGATGCCCATTTTCTCTTCTGGTATTATTATGAGGATCCAATCAGTGTATATGTGAAAAAAAAATTTTTATTTTATTTTTTTGAGATAGAGTTTCGCTCTTGTTGCCCAGGCTGGAGTGTAGTGGTGCGATCTCTGCTCACCGCAACCTCCACCTCCCAGGTTCAAGCGATTCTCCTGCCTCAGCCTCCCGAATAGCTGGGATTACGGGCATGCACCACCACGCGTAGCTAATTTTGTATTTTTAGTAAAGATGGGGTTTCTCCATGTTGGTCAGGCTGGTCTTGAACTTCAGACCTCAGGTGATCCGCCCGCCTCAGCCTCCCAAATTGCTGGGATTACAGGTGTAAGCCACCATGCTTGGCCAAAAATTTTTTTTTTTTTTTTTTGAGACGAAGTCTCACTCTGTCACCCAGGCTGGAGTCCAATGGTGCGATCTCAGCTTGCTGCAACCTCCACCTCTCGGGTTCAAGCAATTCTCCTGCCTCAGCCTCCTGAGTAGCTGGGACTACAGGCGCCCGCCACCACACCCAGCTAGATTTTTTTGTATTTTTAATAGAGACAGGGTTTCACCGTGTTAGCCAGGATGGTCGTGATCTCTTGACCTTGTGGTCTGCCCGCCTTGGCCTCCCAAAGTGCTGGGATTACAGGCATGAGCCACTGCGCCTGGCTAAAAATTTTTTAAAGAGATAATGTTGACCAGGTATAGTGGCTCACACCTGTAATCCCAGCACTTTGGGAGGCCAAGGCTGGTGGATGGCTTGAGCTCAGGAGTTTGAGGCCAGCCTGGACAACGTACCAAGACCCCATCTTTACATAAAATTTAAAAATTAACTGGGTGTGATGGTGCACACCTTTGGTCCCAGCTATTTGGGTGGCTGAGGTGGGGGGACCACTTGAGCCTGAGAGGTTGAGGCTTCACCGAGCCATGATTGCTTCACTGCATTCCAGTTTGGATGACAAGAGCAAGACCTTGTCTCAAAAAGAGAGAGAGACAATGGCCAGGCACAGTGGCTGGCACCTGTAATCCCAGCACTTTGGGAGACTGAGGTGGGAGGATCCCTTGTAGCCAGGAGTTTTGTTGTTGTTGTTGTTACTGTTGTTGTTTTTTTTTTTTTTTTTTTTTTGAGACAGAGTCTTGCTCTGTGCCCCAGGCTGGAGTGCAGTGGCGCGATCTCGGCTCACTGCAAGCTCCGCCCCCCCGGGTTCACGCCATTCTCCTGCCTCAGCCTCCCGAGTAGCTGGGACTACAGGTGCCCGCCACCTCGCCCGGCTAATTTTCTTGTATTTTTAGTAGAGACGGGGTTTCACCGTGTTAGCCAGGATGGTCTCAATCTCCTGACCTCGTGATCCGCCCGTCTCGGCCTCCCAAAGTGCTGGGATTACAGGCTTGAGCCACCGCGCCCGGCCTGTTGTTGTTTTTTGAGGCAAAGTCTCACTCTGTCACCCAGGCTGGAGTGCAGTGGCACGATCTGTGCTCACTGCAACCTCTGCCTCCAGGTTCAAGTGATTCTCCTGCCTCAGCCTTCCTGGTAGCGGGGATTACAGGCATGCACAACCGCACCTGTCTAATTTTTGTATTCTTAGTAGAGATGGGGTTTCACCATGTTGGTCAGGATGGTCTTGAACTCCTGACCTCAGGTGATTTGCCCACCTCGGCTTCCCAAAGTGCTGGGATTACAGGCGTCAGCCACTGTGCCTGGCCTGTAGCCAGGAGTTTGAGACGAGCCTGGACAACACAGGCCCCTGGGATTCTCCTGCCTCAGCCTCCCAAGTAGCTCAAGCTACAGGTGTACACCACAACCCCTGCCTAATTTTTAAATTTTTCTGTAGAGACATAGTCTCACTGTGTTGCTCGTCTTGAATTCCTGGCCTTAAACGATCCTCCTGCCTTGGCCTCCCAACATGGGATTACAGGCATTACAGGGATTACATGGGATTACATGAGCCACCTTGTGTAGCCTGAAAATTCTTTGTAATATAAACTCTAAAGTATCATATGAATTTTGGTGTCTTGATTTCACAATTCATAAAACAGCAAACACTTTGAAACACGTACATCTCTTGAAGCTGTTGCTCACATCTTAATTGCTTTGGGTGGCTACCCACCAGTGGTCCAAGGTGGATGGAGGTTAGGGTTTTAAATTAGATCTCATAGTTGTAAACTAGAATTTTAAACCAGGATTCTGTCATCTCTTGTGTCCTGGTCCACTAGTTCTTATCCTTAGAACCCTCAAGTCCTGCTCTAGCTGTATTGTGACTCCTCTTTTGTCCACTTTGCACTCTGGTAGTTTGAGGAGCAGCAGGCTTTTGAGAAGAGCCGCAAGTTCCTTCGGCAGCTGGAGATTTGCTTTGCAGAGAACCCCTCACACCACCAGAAGATTATCAAGGTCCTCCAGGGCTGTGCAGACTGCCTTCCGCAGGAGATCACCGAGGTATTCTTTCCTGTCCTGCTTTCTTCCTGTTGTCTTCTGGTCCTTAGGCCTTTCCCTTGTCTCTTTCCCCAACCTACTCCATACCTTTTTGCCTCTGGAGTGTCATGGGCTTCCTGGAGGAGATGAACAAGGCAAGGACTTTTTAGGCTTACCCAAAGCATAAAGCACTGGGGTAGGGAGGGATTGCTACCTGAAACCAGAGCCTGTCTAATCTTCACAGGCTCAGGAATGCCATGGATGTCCTGGAAGGGATGTTCAAGGACGGAGGTTCTGGGGCCTGGGAGGGGCCTTACCTCCTTGCTCTGCTTGGGGTAGTGTCCTAGCTGGAGACCAGTAGGGCAGAGTGGAGAGTGGGATCATTAGGAGTCAAATCTAGTATTAGTACCCTTCCCCTGTAGGCAGCTAAGGAGGAAGAGAAAGTTCTGGTATTCTTTGTTACCAGGCAGAGTCTCTGTGTGTTTCCCAGTTGACTAGGAAAGCAGAACATGGAGGTATATGGGATTGGTTGGGAAGGGTAGCTTAGAGAGGCTCTGGAGACTTCCTCTTTCCCTCTGTGATTCTCCTCAGCTCAAGACACAGATGTGGCAGCTCCTCAAGGGCCACGACCACCTACAGGATGAGTTTTCTATCTTCTTTGACCACTTGCGCCCAGCAGCTAGCCGGATGGGTGACTTTGAAGAGATCAATTGGACTGAGGAGAAGGAGTATGAGGTATAGGCCCTGAGGCTGCTGTAGCCTTATGAAGGGGGGAGGCCACACGTGGGAGGGATATTGGCCTGGTGTCTGTGCTGAGCAGCACCAACTCCTTCTCAGTTTGATGGCTTTGAAGAAGTGGCCCTGCCTGATGTGGAAGAAGAGGAGGAGCCTCCCAAGATACCCACAGCCTCAAAGAACAAGAGAAAAAAAGAGATCGGGGTCCAAAATCATGATAAGGTATTTTCTTTGTTTGTTTGTTTTTGAGACAGAATCTCGCTCTGTCACCCAAGCTAGAGTGCAGTGGTGTAATCTTGGCTCACTGCAACCTCCACCTCCCAGATTCAAGCAATTCTCCCACCTCAGCCTCTCAAATAACTGGAATTACAGACACATGCCACCACGCCCAGCAAATTTTTGTATTTTTGGTAGAGATGAGTTTTCACCATGTTGGCTAGGCTGGTCTCGAACTCCTGACCTCAAGTGATCCACCCGCCTCGGCCTCCCAACGTGCTGGGATTACAGGTGTGAGCCACTGTGCCCGGCCTAAAATTATGATAAGGTATGCCAGGTTATTGAAAAGCATCTATGTTTCATGAATCAAGCCTTGCGTTTTCTCACTAATCATTTCTCTGGCTTACTATGGCCCAAGGTTTCTAGTTGAAAGACTCTAGGATCTGAGACAATCATGGAGAACAGACCAAAGGTCAGGCTGAGACAGACATGCAGAGCCTTTGGGAAAACAGTGCCGTTGTTGCAGGGGCCTTAGGATTCCCTAGTTAGAAGGATTTGTTTCTTCCCCTTTTCTCTCTAGCTCGGAGTTATTACCCTTAATTCAACTTTTTCTTTTCTTTTCTTTTCTTTTTTTTTTTTTTTTTGGTGACAGAGTCTCACTCTGTCTCCCAGGCTGGAGTGCAGTGGCATGATTTCAGCTCACTGCAAGCTGCGCCTCCCAGGTTCACGCCATTCTCCTGTCTCAGGCTCCCGAGTAGCTGGGACTACAGGCGCCCGCCACCACGCCTGGCTAATTTTTTGTATTTTTAGTAGAGACGGGGTTTCACCATGTAAGCCAGGATGGTTTCGATCTCCTGACCTCATGATCCACCCATCTTGGCCTCCCAAAGTTCTGGGATTACGGGCGTGAGCCACCACGCCCGGCCTCAACTTTTTCGTTTTTGCTCATGTGAGAAAATAGAGCCAATTGAGGATGAGCTTGTTGTTAAAAAAAGAAAGTAGAAACAAGATTTCCCATATTAATAATAATGATAGAAGCTAATACTTAGTTGTATTACAAAGTGACAGGCATTGCTGCGAAGTATTTTAATGGATTATTGACACATTTAATTCTCACAGTAATCCTATGGAGAGATTGCTCTTGTTTGCATTTTACAGAAGACATAACTGACGCAGAGAGGTTGCTGTCAGGGTCTCATATTTAGTAAGTGGCAGTGCTAGGATATGAACTCCTCAGGTAAGCCAGCTGCAGAGTCTACTGGTTGTCACTGCTCTTCAAGTAGTAGTTTTTTTTTTTTTTAATTCATGTTTCCTGACCAAATGTTTTTTCTCTTTCCTGGGGAGAAACTGCTGCTTAGTAGCTGTATGACCTTGAGAAACTTATTTAACCTCTCTTTGTTTCGGTTTCTTCATCATAAATTGGGATGATAATGGTACTTATGTCTTGGGTTTATTAAACAGAGTATCATTGAGTGGGCCTTCCATGGGTACAAAGTTCTCAAGGGGATTGGAAGAGATGGGAGAGCTGAAGGCACAGAGAGACAGAAACAAAGACATTGTGTCTCATGATGGAGGTCTCCAGTGACTTCGCCTCAGATTTTGTCTGACTTAAATATTTCTTGAAACATCTGGGGCAATTGGGATATGTCAGTCTTTAGTTCATTTAGGGATTGTTTCAGGAATTCATAATAGACCTTAATCTAGTTCGGGCTATTGATGTCCCCAGGCAATGTGAGAAGTTGATACATAAAAGAGGAAGGGGTACAGGAGTGGTGGCTCACACCTGTAATCCCAACATTTTGGGAGGTCAAGGTGGGTGGATCACTTGAGGTCAGGAGTTCAAGACCAGCCAGAGTAAGATGGCGAATTCCTATCTCTACTAAAAATACAAAAATTCGCCATAGGCTAGGTGCTGTGGCTTACGCCTGTAATCCCAGCACTTTGCAAGGCCAAGGCGGGTGGATTACTTGAGGTCAGGAGTTCGAAACCAGCCTGGTCAACATGGCGAAATCCCATCTCACTAAAAATACAAAAAAAAATTAGATGGGCGTGGTGGCATGCACCTGTAATCCCAGCTACTTGGGAGGCTGAGACACGGGAATCGCTTGATCCCAGGGAGCGGAGGTTGCACTGAGCTGAGCTCACACCACTGCACTCCAGCCTGGCAGAGCGAGACTCTGTCTCAAACAAAAAATAACAATAATAATAATAATTAGCTAGGCGTGGTGCGCAGTCCCAGCTACTTGGAAGGCTGAGGTGGGAAAATCACTTGAGCCCAGGAGGCAGAGGTTGCAGTGAGCCATGAATGTGACACTGCACTCTAGCCTGGGTGACAGAGCCGGACCCTGTCTCAAAAAAAAAAAAAAAAAGACATGGGGAGAGAGTGGGCTGTGTTGTGCTCATATGGCTCACAACTTTAGCTTCCTTTCTTGGTACCAAAAATATGGCCAGGCATGGTGGCTCATGCCTGTAATCCTAGCACTTTGGGACTCTGAGGGGGGCAGATCACGAGGTCAGGAGTTCAAGACCAGCCTGACCAACATGGTGAAACACTGTCTCTACTAAAAATACAAAAATTAGCCAAGTGTGGTCGTACGTGCCTGTAATCCCAGCTACTCAGGAGGCCGAGGCAGGAGAATCGCTTGAACCCAGGAGGTGGAGGTTGTGGTGAGCCAACATCGTGCCACTGCACTCCAGCCTGGGCCACAGAGTGAGACTCTGTCTAAAAAAAAAAACAACACACACAAAAAACTTGGCAGCTAATCAAGCCCAAGTATCTCCTAGGAGACTGAGTGGCCAGATGGGACCAAGGACTGTGCCTGCTCCTGCCACGAAGGAGGTCCAGATTCCAAGTTGAAGAAGAGCAAAAGGCGGAGCTGTAGCCACTGTAGCAGCAAGGTGAGGAAAGTATCAAGGGTACTGGTCCTAAGGGGTATCAGAGGTGCTGGGGGCATTGTTTGCTACCAAGAATTGTACCTTACTGAATTCCTAAAAAGGCATATATATATATATATATATATAAAACAGTCAGTACACATATATGTGTACGTATGCAAAATAAATGGAATCTGCTACAAATACGTGATTTTGTTTTTTAAGGAGAATTCTGTAAAACTTTTGGAATTGGAAAAACAAAATACCAGTTAAAATATTTCCCTCAGATATTAGAAAATGAAATAAACCTCTGTCATGAAAATAGTCTCTACAAGTAATCCTGGTTCTCTAGAGTGGAGTTGGTTGGCAGGAAAAACACAGTTCTTAGTAAGAGAAGGAGTTGTGGAATCCAATACTCTATTCTGGGCAATTTAAAATCCTTGGAGCAGGGAGGCAGAGGTTGCAGTGAACCATGATGATACCACTGAGCTCCAGCCTGGGTGACAGTGAGACCGTGTTTAAAAAAGAAAAAAAATCAAATCCTTAGAGGAGTAGCTGGGCAACAGAGGACTCCGGAGGCTCAGCTGGGAGATCACTTGAGCCCAGGAGTCTGAGGCTGTAGTGTACCACCATGGTCATGCCTGTGTAAACAGTCACTGCACTCCAGCCTGGGCAAGATAATCTGTGTCATCTGAGACCCTGTCTATCTTTTCTTTTTGTTGTCATTTGAGAGAGTCTCACTATGTTGCCCAGGCTGATCTTGAACCCTTGGGCTCAAGTGATCCTCACCCCTTAGCCTCCCAAGTAGCTAGGTTTATAGGCATGTACCACTGCACCCAGTTGAAACCCTGTCAACAAAATTGTTGGAGCAGACATGCATGTGGGTTGACTTGGTGAGCATCAGGCAGGGCTTCTTCCTTTAGTGGGCCCCAATCAAAGACACAGGCGGTCAGGACACCTTTGACCCAGAAGACCATCTCTGCAGGTCTGTGACAGCAAATCCTACAAGAGCAAGGAGCCCCATGAGTTGGTGGGCAGCAGCCCCCATCGAGAGGCTAGTCCTATGCCTGGAACTAAGGAAGCTGGGCAGGGCAAGGATGTGACGGAAGAGGAAGCCCCAGAGGAGCGGGAGAGCACTGAGGCCACCCAGAGCAGGACTGTCAGGACCACCAGAAAGGGAGAGATGCCTGTTTCAGGTGAGTGATCTGCCAACCCAGCCCTTCTGTTTCTCAGTCTCATTCTCCTGTACTCCAGACAGGAACCTCCATGAGCCTGGATAAATAGCCTTTACAGGGATGGATATACCACCTCTTTCACTGATGTACCCATAGGAAGCCCTTCTCCTATTCAGGCTTTTTCTGTCCTATGGCCTCACTCCTCTTGCAGAATTAAGAATGCCACAAATTTCACGCGATTCAACATTGTCTTTTCTTTCCATTCCTAAAACCCTTCCCCCATCTCCAAATCTACTATAATCTACATCGTAAAGACTGGGCCATTCTCAGCTTTGGCAGTAGGACTTTGTATCTTTGCATAAGTGACATTATGCCCCCCACCTCCACCCAACTCTTTTATTATTTATAATTTTTGTAGTGATGGGATCTCACCATATTGCCCAGGCTAGTCTCAAACTCCTGGCCTCAAGCGATCCCACCACTTTGGCTTCCCAAAGTGCAGGCATTATAGGTGTGAGCCACCATGCCCGGCCCTCTTTTGTATTAGAATTTTTGCACAGTACCTGGCCACAGTGACCTATGGTAAATTCTCGTGCTTAGGTGCATCTTGATCCTGACAGTACCCTGAGATCCTTATTTTCCTCCTAAGCAGGATTGCCAGTGGGGGGCACTTTGCCGTCCCCTCGAGAAGTGACTCTTACAGAACGGCTCCTCCTGGATGGCCCACCACCTCATTCACCAGAGACTCCTCAATTTCCCCCCAAAACTGGAGCTGTACTGTACACTGTTAAGAGAAACCAGGTTGGGCCTGAGGCTCTCTCCTGCCCCAAGGCATCCCCCAGACTTCAGAAAGAGAGGGAGGGCCAAAAGGCAGTGGGTGAGTCAGAGGCTTTGATGCTGGTCTGGGATGCATCAGAAACTGAGCAATTGCCTGGTACCGTGGAACCCCATGCTTCCTTCCTGAGTCCTGTTTCCTCAAAGACCAGAGATGCAGGGAGAAGACATGTGTCCGGGAAACCAGACACTCAAGAGAGATGGCTGCCCTCAAGCAGAGGTAGGGTGAAGACAAGAGACAGGACATCCCCTGTCCATGAATCTCCATCAGGAATTGACACGTCAGAGACTTCTCCCAAAGCCCCTAGAGGGGGTTTGTCTAAAGACAGTGGAACACAGGGCAAGGGTCCAGAGGGGGAGCAGCAGCCAAAGGCCACAGAAGCTACAGTGTGTGCCAACAACAGCAAGGTCAGCTCCACTGGGGAAAAGGTTGTCCTGTGGACAAGGTAGGTAAGGGTGGATGACGTGTGTTTGGAAAAGAGCATAGACCACATCCATGTGGCTCCCTAGGGTTAATCATGATACCTGGGTTACAGGGAAGCTGACCGTGTGATCCTCACCATGTGCCAGGAGCAAGGGGCACAGCCACAGACCTTCAGCATCATCTCCCAGCAGCTGGGAAATAAGACACCTGCTGAGGTAAGTGGGAGTGGGGGTGGAGAAGACCCAGTAAAAAGAGGACAAGGTGGCCAACAAAGAGATAGAAAGGCCAAAGAAGGAGCTTTCATATCCAAGACAGTAAGTGGTTTTTGTAAAGGTCTGATCTAAGGAAAGGCTTGACTCATCAGGGTGGTAGTGGTTCTAGGACAGGAGAAAGGACACTGCATTTTGTCCTTCCTGTGGAAGCCCCAGTTTCCATTCTAGCTTTTTCTTTTTTTTTTTTTTTTTTTTTTTTTTGAGCTGGAGTCGCTGCTCTTGTCGCCCAGGCTGGAGTGCTGGCATGATTTTCAGCTCACTGCAACTCTGCCTCGGGTCCAAGCAATTTCTCTGCCTCAGCCTCCGCAAGGCTGGGATACAGCACCCCGCCACGCCGACCAATTTTTGGTTTTTAGTAGAGACACTGGTTTCACCATGTTGGCCAGGCTGGTTTCAAAACTCCTGACCTCAAGTGAATCCGGCCGCCTCGGCCCCAAAGTGCTGGCATTACAGGGTGCAGCCACCGGCGGCCGCAATTCTGTTTTAGGAGGCGTGGTGACTTTGACAAAACCATTTAGCCTCTTGAGTTTCCTTAGCTATAATGACATAGCTCTCCCAACCTTGCTGTGTTGAATACATAAAGATTTTGCAAATCACATATATAGTGCTCATAAATGTAACATGTTACTAAGGATCAGGAATACAGCCCTTCGCCTTTCTTAGGTCTCCCCCCGTTTTCGAGAATCATGCAGCTCTTCCACAGCGCCTGTGAAGCCACGTTGTGAGGATGAGGATGATGCAACCAGTACCAGCAATGGCAGACCAGCTGTCTGACCGCGTGGACCTTCTGTCTGAAGAGAGCTGGATGAATGAGATCTGGGAATACTTGGGGTATCATCTACACAGGGACCAACCCAGCAGGTGCCCTGTCATTGAGCAGGAGGGTAGTTGTACTTCTGTTGTACAGGTCCTTGCGCCCAGTTTACAGACCGGAGAGGAGGCCCAGGACAGGACAAAGGCTGGAGGGATGAGTAGGACCCAGGGGCTCTGCCATCCTTGCACCATTCAGGTCTTTTTTTTTTTTTTTTTTTTTTTTGAGACGGATCTCGCTCTGTCGCCCAGGCTGGAGGCAGTGGCCGGATTCTAGCTCACTGGCAAGCTCGGCCTCCCGGGTTCCCCGCCATTTTCTCTGCCTCAGCCTCCGAGTAGCTGGGACTACAGGCGCCCGCACCTCGCCGCTAGTTTTTTGTATTTTTAGTAAGAACGGGGTTTCACTGTGTTAGCCAGGATGGTCCTCGATCTCCTGGACCTCGTGAATCCGCCCGTCTCGGCCTCCCAAAGTGCTGGATTACAGGCTTGAGCCACCGCGCCCGCCTATTCAAGGTCTTTATGAAGACCTTACAATCTCCTTCTGAAATAGCATCGAGAGAGAGTGGAGCTCAGCTCCTTTCTCTACTTTTTTTGGTCTGATGGCACATATTATTGTTCTGGTCTAATCACAGGGTTTCTAAATGTAAAAAGTGCATAGTAGTTGTGTGGCTAAGTCCTTGCGAACATCGAGCTCCTCTGCACGAAGACACTGGGCTCCTGCATCCAGCTGTTTTTATTGCACACTAGCTCCTCTCTCCCACACTGGGAACTTTAGTCCACGAGGCTGTCACCACCGTGGTAGCACTGGGCCAGGCTTTGTAGCTCCTGCAGGAGCTCTGCTACGTCATCGTGCTCCACTCCAGCATCCATGAAGCTGGCCCAGCGCCGCAAGTCGAGTTTGGTGAGGTCTCTGGCCAAGGCTTCCAGGGTCTGGTGCAGGGACGAAGAGGAACACAGTGCCCCAAACACTGGGATGCTCTCCACTGCTGAGGAGGGAGAGGAAAGAGAGACCTGTAGATGGATGATTATTCTGCCCTGGGACTCTATCAAACTGATAAGGAAGTCCAACCTTAGTAGACTTGATTGTAAACTCAACAAATTTGGTGTACTGTCCCCTTAGTACACCAGTACTCCAGAGGAAGAATGCTTTTCTTGGGAGCCATAGGGTGAATAAAAGAATGTTTAACTGTGGACTTTTTCAGCACTTTTAATCCAGGAACGGAGATAGTAAAAACTCTCCCATACTTGAAATCTCAGTTTTCTTTACCTCCTACATACCTGCTCCCTTGGGGGAACCATCCAGAACCATACCCTGTGGACTGCAGCTTGAGAAGAGGTGGGGGTAAGGAGGAGCCACCCTGCAGGGAGTCAGCAGCAGATGGGAAGAACTGTGGGGGCAGAGAACAGACGCTAAGCGCGTAAGAAGTCACAGGAGGGTTGAGGTTGGCAAGAAGGGCAGGAGCAACCGTTACACTGACCTCATGACTCTAGGCTGCTGCTGTTGTAAATACTGAGCCAAGACTTCTTCCCCAGTGGTACATGCGTGAAGGGAGGAGGGTGGAGGTGTCCCTGGGGTGAGCTGGCTGCCAGAACAAAGCCAAAACCACCATTAGGCTGTGGCAGCATGAATAAGAAACTAAGAATTCTTATGTTTTCAGGCCATCAGCTGGATCAAAAAAAAAATTTCTTTTTGCTTCCTTTTTAAGGGGTGGGGAGGGAACAATATCATTAGAATGTCCCAGAGAAATTAGGGGGGAAAGGATATGAAACAAAAATCTGACAAGGGTTCCTAAGGACCAACAGCTGTCACCTCGTGTGGCATGCTCTGTCTATACCCCTCAGCACCACTGACTGGGCAAAGCAACGTGTTCCAGAAGGCTCCCCACATGCAGACAGTGGGGTCCATGGGGTGGCTCCTCCAAACTGCATCAGGGAATCAGGAAGGGACTGGCCTGGAGCCAAGGGGAAAGGAATGGTTGCTCCTGCTGTCACCACCTAAAGAGAAGGAAGAGAACACGTTAGAGGACATTTTCTCAGCACTGACCCTGACCCAACCCCTCACAAAGCTTCATACCTTTTTCCCACAGAAGCTCAGCATGTCAGCCAGATGAACCATGGAAACTGGAGAGGAACACAGGCGATAAGGAACAGTGACTGTGTCCAGGGCTGTAGCCAGGATGGCACTGCAGTGGAAGGGCAGAGTGGCCTGTAAGAAGACACCAAGAGGGGCACTTGGCCTCAGGCCTGGAAAAGAATGTGTGGAGGCAGAATATTAACACCAGAAAGATCCAGGGGACAAAGCAGGGGTATGTCTGGCCTCTGGCTGGACAAGCATAGGGCATAGGACAGTGTGATCTGAGAGGCCGCATCACAGCTGAGTTTAAGCTCGGGCCTCAGGAACAGAGCCAGTAACAGACAGCGGCTGACTGGGAGTATGAGGAAGCCCCGTAGCCTGCTGCAGTCAGAACGAGCACCGAGACTTACATCGTAATGCAGGTAAGGGAAGTTGACAGGTGGCTCAGGTCGCAGGCCCAGGCTCCCACCCAAGGACAAAGGACAGACGAGAGAGCTGTGAGCAGTCAGGTGTACGAGACCAAAAGCTGTGTTTAATAGACGATAGATGTTTCTCTGGGCCTCCTGGTGAAGAAAAAGAGTAGTTTGCATTCAGCAACTCTCCCCCTGGGATTCTCATTTCTCCCTCCCCACCGTGTGACTGCTTACTCCTCCAAGTTCCAGTCACCCCACGATGGTAGGGACCAGGTAGCAGGCCCCACGTTATTATTCCCCGCCCTGAATATTCATCTTGTAGCAGCTCTGCCGCCTTCGCGCCTACCCCAGAGAAGCCATCGTGCAGGTCACACAGGATCTGGAAGCCCTGAGCGGAGGTGAGTGATGAAAAATAGTTAGGGAGTAGGATGAGAAGAGCTTCTACCCTGGAGTGCACGTTGCCACGCCGCTACCTGCAAGTAGTCACATTCCTCCACGTAGAAGTGCAGCCTGTCCTCCAGCTCTTCCTGGTACTTGGGTTCCTTTAGGACACTTTCCCCTTGGCCAAAAGCTTCCAGCCGACCTGCTTCCCTGCCACAAGTAAACACAATCCAAGACTTACATCTCTTCCCTCAACTCCTCAACCTCTTGTCCTGGGGGAGGGCAGGGAAGATGGCCTCAAGAGCCTCATCCTGCATTGGTGGGGACCCACGTTTCTTGCCTCACAGCCTCTGGGGTCTCCATACCCATCATGGTTGTACTTCTGAATCATACAGATGCTCCGGGGATGGAGATGGACTCTGAGGAAGTCTGACCAGACCCTGATGCTGGCCTCTGTAGGGATAAGTGGTTTTGGAGTTGTAGCGGTGGTGAGTGGTGGGGAACCTGAAGACAAGCAGAGGAAATGTACCTTTCTCCACGTTTCTGCTCTACCCAGACCCGCATCCATCAGTATCTGGAGAAGTCTCACATTTGCCATTGGGAATGGATTTGACCCTCCAAACACCATCACTACTCAGCACTCCCTGGGAGGGGTGAAGAAAAATCTACATTTAGTTCCGGGCAGTTTAGAGGTAAAGGTTGGTTCATCCTTCTGGAGTTGGCTGGCCACACCGCACACCCTCCTTTCTGTTCACCGAGTCGTGGTCCTTAGGAAAAGAAGTGCTTTGTTCCCAAAATATCATTCTAGGACATTTAAAGTGATTAAAATCCCCTTTTACCTGCCCCTATGGAGGCCCTCGGGTTGTAGCACTGAGTTAAAAAGTTCAGGGCAGAGGCCCTCACCTCTGCACTCAGAAAGTCCTGGAGATAAGGGTTCTTGGGACAGAGTTCCTCTTTGTGTGTGGTGAGCTTCCCCTGCCTGAAAGAGATTGGAGATTGATCAAAGAAACCGCACTCTGATGAGTTCTCCTGCGTTCTATGTACATACATATTCCCCACCCTTATCCACACATCAATTACACACCATGCTATTGCAGCATCCAACTGTTTGTCCCTGTAGAGTCCACCTTCCTCTTTTAGGGAGCTCAAACTACCTGTACAGAAATAACAGAGACAAAGTTAGGTCAAAGCCTGGGGCACCCTACCCCTCTAGCCAACCTTCCTCTGATCACCTGACAACCTGCTGTCACCATCTCTCCAGCACTTGGCTCTTCCAAGCTTTCTGGGACATACACTAGTTCGGGCAGGGGAACCTTGGCCTAGGAGAATCCAGATTCCATCTCTCCGTTCTCAGCTTAGTCATTAGCTGTGGAACGGGGGCAACAACCACATCCAAGGGTCCGACAGGAGTGCTGTAGTTCAAGTCCTCTGTCTCAAGGCCTAGCAGCCTATTCCCGAGATGGCTCTTGAGCAAAATAAAGTTTTGCCGTCCTGCGCCTCTCGGGTGTTGGCATGCTGTGCTCAGCTCATCTCCGGTCCTGGAGCTCAGTAAGGTGCGAGGGTCTTGAAGATAACGGCAGCGCAAGGACTCGGCTCGCGGAAGGGAAACACAGGGCACGGGCTGACGCTGCCACCACCTCACCCTTCAGATCCATGAGGATGAGTCGCGGCGTGTAGGTATCCTGGCCGTGCAGCGTCCGGCCCGTACGATACAGGACATCGGGGCACAGCTCTCCCGGCGACTCCTTGGCATCGGTTGCTCGGCCCAGCGCAGCATCCTGGGGAAGCAGAGAGGACGAGGCAGGCCGGCTGAACGTCGGGACTGTAGATCCCGAAGGGCTCCTCGGGGGCAGCTGCCGGCCGACCTCACCTGCTGGTTCCACCAGTGCGCGCCCACGAAACCCGCAAAGTGTCCCAACTGCAGTGTGAGCACTTCCCGGGCCCCGCCCGCCATACTGCGCGGCTCCAAGGGACCGCAGCGACCCAGCCCCGCCGCTCGCTGCTCCTAGCCGATTGGCTTAGCAGGCGCGTGGGCGGGTGTCATTCTCGGCGACCTATTGGTCCGGAAACACATCCTTTTCTATTGGAGAAACGATTCGCCGATTCCTGCCTCTTCCGAGACGTGGCCCAGTCCAGCTTCTCTGTGGTTGCCTGCGAGGGGCGGGGTCCACGGGCCACGCCGTTGCTCCTGCTCCACGTTGGAGCGGGCTGGGCGCTGCCTCCGCCGCTGAAGGGGCCGCCCGGTCGTGGGCCGCGGAACGCTCTTCCTCGTACTTCCCCTGAGGTCTTATCACTTCTCACAGATCTCCGCTGGCTGATAG